ATAGATATCCATGGATAAATAGAGACCTAAAGAAACTTATCAAAAAACAAGAGGCCCAGGGGCCACAGCGCTCACCTGAGCACATCGGCTAGGAAAAAGCACATATCAGATCACTGAGGTTGGGGAAAGGGGGGGGGGCTTGAATTTTAACACCCCAGGGGATCATGATTTGAACGAACTAGAATCTACACTACCTGAGGATGATTCCATATAAATATTTCTAATCATGGCTTTGAAGTACTTGTAAAGATTTTAAAAGGTTTCCCCCTATATTCCTAATATGTAAATCTTTGGTCAGCCAATTTGGCCCCACCCTAGCCCCGGGGGTCATGATTTGAACAAACCTGATTCTACAATACCTGAGGATAATTTCACATGAGTTTCATCTTTCCTGTCTCAATGGTTCTTGAGAAGAAGATTTTTAAAGATTTTTCCTATATATTCCTATGTAAAACTTTTAACGGCCATTATGGCCCCACCCTAGCCCCAGGGGTCATGATTTAAACAAATTTGAATCTACACTACCTGAGGATGATTCCACATGAGTTTCATCTTCCTGTTCCTATGGATCTTGAGAAGAAGATTTTTAAAGATTTTTCCTATATATTCCTTTGTAAAACTTTGCTTGGCCATTTTGGCCAAACCCTACCTCCGGGGGTCATGATTTGAACAAATTTGAATCTACACTACCTGAGGATGATTCCACATGAGTTTCATCTTTCCTGGACCAGTGGTTCTTGAGAAGAAGATTTTTAAAGATTTTTCCTATATATTCCTATGTAAAACTTTGATGGGCCATTTTGGCCAAACCCTACCCCCGGGGGTCATGATTTGAACAAATTTGAATCTACACTACCTGAGGATGATTCCACATGAGTTTCATCTTTCCTGGCCCAGTGGTTCTTGAGAAGAAGATTTTTAAAGATTTTTCCTATATATACTCCTATGTAAAACTTTGATCGGCCATTTTGGCCCCATCCTACCCCCGGGGTTCATGATTAGAACAAAATTGAATCTACACTACCTGAGGATGATTCCACATGAGTTTCATCTTTCCTGGCCCAGTGGTTCTTGAGAAGAAGATTTTTTAAAAATGCCGTTAATTTTTCTCTAATTCATAATTATCTCCCCTTGGAAAAGGGCGTGGCCGTTCATTTGAACAAATTTGAATCCCCTTTAAATACCAAAGGATACTTTGTAGCAAGTTTGGTTGAAATTGGCCCAGTGGTTCTTGAGAAGAAGACGAAAATGTGAAAAGTTTGCAACGACAACGACGACGACAGACAACGGACAAATTTTGATCAGAAAAGCTCACTTGAGCCTTCAGCTCAGGTGAGCTAAAAAGAGATCGGAGTTATAAAAAATCAGGAAATAAATCAGAAAAAGAGAAATACCAATCGATCATTAAAGCAAGAAACACAAAGACAACTTAGAAAGGCATATTGGCAGTATGGTGAGGGTAGGCCCCTATTGTTATGCTGCTCTTGAGAAGATTTTTGGAGATTTTTCCAATGTACTCCTATGTTAAACTTTGATCCCCCATTGTGGCCCCATCCTACCCTGGGGTCATGACTTGAAGAAACTTGAATCTTCACTATACAGAGGATGTTTCCACATGTATGAGTTTCATCTTTCTTTGCCCAGTGGTTCTTTCAAGAAGATTTTTTAAAGATGCCATCAATTTTTCACTAATTCATATAATTACATGTTGATCTCCCCTTGGAAGAGGGCATGACCCTTCATGAACAAACTTGAATCCCCTTCACCCAAGGATACTTTGTGGAAAGTTTGGCACTGGAGATGAAAATCAATGTGAAAAGTATACGACAAAAACGCCAACGACAGACAACCATGACAACGGACAAATTTTGATCAGAAAAGTTAACTTGAGCCTTTGGCTCAGGTGAGCTAAAAAGGGGAGGGCTAGTCCACTTACCATGCTTACAGACACATGGATCTGTAACACTCTATATTTGATTAAAATTTACGTTATCACTATAATTATATATCTTTTTGTATAAATAGTGATTACGTAGAATCAAATATAGGCCCTGGCCCTATACTTACAGACTAAGCATGATGATATCGATTTGACTGAGGTAAAATCTTTTCCTGTTGTTCTTGAGGGAAAATATTCTATATTTTTTACAAAGAGCAATTGTAAAAGCTCAATGGTATTATCTATCGGTCGATTCCGGAGCTCTAGAATCGAACGAACCTTTCCGGACGACAATCGGCAGTCCTCGGCTGACTCCCTTATGCTGCATAGTGTGCGAGACACCTAAGGATGTCCGATTTGAAATTGGAAAGGGAAAAATTATGCAAGTTAGATCTATTGTTTTTCTGTAAGTATTTTTAGTTTAATCTACTTTCTAGTGTACAGATGTGCCATTTTTTGTTTTTGACACGAAGAAAACCGCTGCAATCAGAAATAAGCATTGTTGTTTGTTTTTTCTTTGAGTTGGACTTTGTCTACCATATTGATCATCAGAGACTTTTAATCCGAGATTCCTCTGACTCAGAGGACATAATTTATCAGAATATCACAGGCGCTTGTTTCATACACTACAGTAGTTTTCTACTAAATAATAACAGAAGTGTTATTACACAGCAGAAAACTAGCGTATTGTATGAAACAAGCGCCTGTGATTATCATGATTATAATAACAGACTTGGGTCAAACAGTTGTTTTATACCTTGAGCTGATGAGGGAAGTGGGCGTTCACTGCTAATATATTATATTATAGTATACATTTTCCTTCTAAATTATTCTTGACTTTGAATAATTATACTTAATCAGTGGTAATATACTTTTTAACATGTTCAGTGTGCTGCTTTTAGTATATTTAAAATTTATTGTCAACTACAGTGTCGGACAAAACGTGTTTCAACATCTTGTGTGCTGGTCTCGTATGTAAATTTCATTTATTCAGCATTTCCTCGCCTCATTTTCTCTGTTATTATCAATTGGCATTCACAGATACTTGTGGACAGGACCCCCTCCCCCCTCCCCCCCCCCCCCCCCCCCCCCCCCCCGATATTCAACCCCTGGGCTTATTGGACATTTTTTTCAAAAATTATATTTGTTACACTTATTCATCATGTGTAAAAAATGAAAAAAATCATCAAAACCCCAAAACAATCGCTCCACAAAAAAATACCCCACTATACATTATAAGGGAGAAAGGTATGCCACTCCGGTTTGTTTACGTTGTACCCCCATTTGGTCTTTCTGGATTTAAAAACATGTATTTATTTTATTTCAACCTAAAATGTCGATTCACATCGTCTCTACATCTTAGTGCATGCTATCGGATTAACTCTGCATCTCGTAAGAATCCCACAATACCTGATTGTCTCCTTAAACAGTTTTCCAGTCAGAATGTTGAAATTTCCCTAGGTAATCGCAACGGAAGTGCATGGAGAATGTTTCACTTCTTAGGATAACGTCTGAGAGAGTTTTGGCCTGACGTAATCATCTCCCTTGGGTGTTATCATACATTCTCTATGCACTTTCCGTTGCTTTTACTTAGGGAAATTTCAAACCGAAGTGGCATACCTTTCTCCCTTATAATGTATAGTGGGGTATTTTTTTTTTTTTTTGGAGTGATTGTTTTGGGGCTTTGACGATTTTTTCATTTTGTACACATGATGAATAAGTGTAATAAATATAATTTTTGAAAAAAATGTCCAAAACGCCCAGGGGTTGAATATCGGGGGGGGGGGGGGGGGGGGTCCTGTCCACAAGTACCTGTGTTGGCATTAAGAGAATTTTTTTAAAATAATTTTATTTTAATATTTTCTTTTTGAAATGAAAAATTGCAGTAATTAACATTCACAGGTACTGGTAGACAGGATTGTCCTTACCCTCCTTTCAATAATTAAAAAATCTTAATTTTTTAAAAAAAAATTCTCATCTCTGACAACTCATATGACATATATATGTTATAAAGCCCGACTTTAATAAAGGTATGTGTGATATAGGTGAAACAACTGTGATTACATATTGCATCTGATTGATAAAATATGTGATTTTTCAAACAGAAACATATAGTTGATTTAATAATTGTCAGATTTAAGTATTTGATAAAAAATGAAAAAAAAAAATTAAGAAAAAAATATTTTAAAACATTATATTAAAAGGGAGAGGGGGAGAATGCTGTTCTTGTATCAACTATTTTGATACATTTGGTAAAGTAAGCATTTTTACTTTCTTGAGATCCTCCTTTTGATGGTGTGGTGGCCAGATAACTTGGCAAAATAAAACTGAAATAGAGGCATGTTACTGGCAGTCAATGGGAGGTCTCAATTGTCAGTTGTGCAAAACATCCAAGGAGTTTCGATTAGCTATCTCTGGATTTTAAGTTGGCTAAACAAAGTAGGATGTATAGCCCTATGGCTAGACTGATTTATCAAACCTTTATTTGTTGATACACCTGATGTGAAAACCTACAAAATTTCAGCATTACTTTTTAAAAAAATTTTGCCATACATATATCTTAAAAAAATACTCACTGACAGTATGTGTTACATGTTACCTTGGTTTCATGCTACCAAAGGCTTGCAGTTTATGTAGTTTGGAATAAAGGTTGTTGCAACCAAAATGATGCTTGTTGCTTCATTAGTTATGTGATTCACTTCCTTGGTCAAAATGAAAGTGTATATAATCACTATATATGTTTCCGATAACTTGGGGCATGTTGAGGTGTATGATCATAATACATTATATAGATTTCAGTAAATTTATCAGAAAAGAATGTTTACACACTACAGGTACATTGCAGGCCCTTGGGCCTCCTACGATTTTAACTTTCATGCACAGGTATTTATTTCAGAAATAATTTTAACCTATATTATGTTATTATTATATTATGGGTTAAGATTTAGTTCTGAAACAAGTGCCTGTGCTTTCATGTCATATTATGCAATATGAACAAAAAGATTTTATTTTCAATCTATGAACAATTTTATGTTTCAGAATCTACAAAGACTGTTGTGGGCACAGACATCGCAAGAAAGGCCACAGATCTTTTCTTTGTTATGAAAACAGTGAGCATAAAAATAATGAACATTGTAAAGAGAAATGCAAGGGAGGAAAGAAGAAGCAAGAGTATGTCTTTGTTTTTCATAAAAACAACAGATCACATCAGTGTTCTTGCAGACTCTGTTTCAGTGGGATGGTCAACACCATCACAAATCAGGGATTCCATATGGTCAGCCTGTACAATGAAGTCTGCATAGAACTCTCTCTCCAGCAAACAGAATTTTCGGACATCATCTCAGTCTTCACCCATGTGGATATTTACACAGTTCTTGATTCAGGTGGAGGCCATTTGGTCTCCACCCACTTTGAGGGCCAGTGTATCATCAGTGCCCCCAAAGACACTATGGACCATGTTGCCATAGTTATGCTTCTTTGTATTCAAAGAGTCATTTTACAGCTTCATCATCGAATGATGTTTATAACCCCCCTGGATCAGGTGGCATATCATAAAGAACATAACCATCATGACCATACACCTATATTCAGAACTATAGCATCCAATACAAAGAAGAAAAATTCAGATAATCTCAAAATTCAAATTTCAAAGAAATTATGCATCTTAGACTTGTTAACAATCATTTTCACATTTCTCTCCCCCATTTTCACGGAGAACAAGGAAAATCAAGAGTGTGTTGCAGAGGAGGAACCTGAACTCTTAGGAAAAGGTGGCAACAAAAGAGAAAAAAAGAATTCTGATAACAAATCGTGTGATGATGACACCAATAAAACCTTTAGTGAAGACACTTTAAGCATTTTGTTCCCTAGCTTGGAAATACGCCGTCAAGAAATTGTAGCATATCCTGCAACACAACAACCAGTCTTAGAGCCGATTCTCAACAAATTCTCTGTTCCTGAAAGGGCACCCTCCAAACATGACACCATGGCTGTGGAATTCCTGCGCCTCTGTACCATGCATGACTACCCTAACACTAATGGACCTAGTCTTTTGAGACTGGCCCAGGCTGGCTTCTTCTATGAGGGAAATGGAAATGAACTTGTCTGTTTCTCTTGTGATTTCCGGAAAGGAAGCTGGAATTATAATGATTCTCCCAGAGAAATTCATTTGAGGATGTCTCCAAACTGTAAATTTTTATCGCAAGGTGGTGATGGCAATGTTCCTGTGCCAAGAGGAGAGTCAACACAAGGTAATGACAAAAGCACTGAGCAATGCTCACAACACTGGGGATTGCTTTCTATCAATCTTTTATTGATTAAATTGATAATTTTTAAATCAATAAATACTTATTATCCAGCAATAGTTTTTACAATGATGTAGGTGCATGCTTATAAAACTCGTAAATTAAAAACTGCTGCATTCAGATTGCATATTTATAAATAGACTGTTGAAATAGAAACGTTGTTTTCTTGTGCAAAGAATAGAGAAAATTTCAACAGATGAGATTTCCAAACAATAATGTTTTTATTTCCTTTCAGACCTTGTTCCCCTTCAGAGTGCACCTCCGGCAGGAGTTGTGGAACCTGACGGTCCACGGACAAGCTATAATGCCTCGACATCTAACAACACGGCTCACCTGGCCAGTGCTAATTATAGCGACGGACAGGACCAACCAGATACGACGAGACGTACGATGGTGGTAAAACACCCGGAGTACGCTAGTCGCCCCGCCAGACTGGCCTCCTATGCTAATTTTCCTCGCCACATGAAGCAGCATCCAGCTGATATGACAGATGCTGGGTTTTATTACGCAGGTGAGTAATAGTGGACTTAGGCAAATATATTGAGATATTCTTTGCCTTAAAGGTAATCCAAGTTGGAGCAGTATAGTAAGAAAACATGAGGGAACTGAGAAAAACTTCTTTTTTAAATAAAAGTTATATTGTCATTTTGTTTCAAATTAGAAGTTGCTTTAATATTATTTCTAAAAATATTTATTTATTTATTATTCACAATTTTTTCAGGTTTTGGGGATTGTTGCAGATGCTATCATTGTGGAATAGGTAAGAAGTTAAAATGTGTCTGTTGAAAGATTTTGATGCATATTTATGGAAAGAGTTAAACTGAACTTTTTAAAGATTTCTTAAACTAGAATATTATTTTTGACTTGAAACATTTCTTTGTACATTTTTACTGTAATATTTTTGTGCCATACTTAAGATGTATGTACTGTAGAAGTACTTTTTTCCGCATGGTATTAATTTACGCTATGTACGCGGTCACTAATTTTTCGCTGAAATTTGTCCCATCGAACTTAATATTAATATAAGGCATATATAGAGAGTCTTAAGATATCCGCGTAATTTTCTACCAGCGGATTAAACAGAAATAGATATTCCGCGGAATTATAACCCCGTGGAAAAAAGTACTTTTACAGTATTTCAATGAAAAGTTTTGCTGTTATTGGGTATAGTTGAGTAATAATTCTGTGAACGAGGGTGATCCCTTTCACACCTATACATTTAATACTCTAAGCTGCCATGCTTATTCTATAAGTATTTAAATGTAGTTCACAGAAACCCCAGAATACAGTAGTAATACCTTGACATTTCTTTACTATAAAGAAATTCCATGGTATTTCTCTGTTACCGTGGTTATGAGCCCTCTTTACATATATAATATTAAAGAGTAGCTTGGTTTAAAATACTGTAAATGTATTATATTAAGCGTGTACGATATTTAGCGGAAAATGATTTTTTAACAAGTTAGCATAGATTTGATTTAGCGCATTTCTTGATGTTCTTATTCATGTATCAATAATTAAGACATTTAGCGATGTACTTGAATTAGCGGAAGTATCTTTCCGCCAAAAGCGCTAAAAAGAATACACCGCCAAATGTAATACGTTTACAGTATCTTAATCATTTGCTGGTGACATATCAAGCTGGTAACATATATAAGTATATATTTCCATTTCTATTTGCTTTCTCTGTGATAACTCTTTTAAAGTTAGTGGGTTTTATATCTTGATCATTCTTCCAGCATGTAAATTTGGCCTAATGTACTTGTAAATCTTGTGCGGCTGTCTTTTTGTTTGACGTCAGTGGGTGGTGTCTATTGAAATTGATATGGGAGACCTTGTGTAATTAAAAATTTTTTAAACTTCATTTTTAAAATCTATAATTTTACAATTTTATTTCACTGTGAAATGGAAATAAAAGGAATCACTGTCTAGTCAGTAGAGTATGCCAGGGACATCAACGATAGTTGGAAATGTGGTATAATTTTATTTATGAATAACTGGCTTTGCCCATTTGCTCGTTATGCATAAATTATCCCATGTTTCCAACTATCGTTGATGCCCTGGCATACTCCACTAACAAGACAGTGATCCTTAATTATACAA